ATAAACACAATTCTGCTCACAATATCCTTAAAAAATTCAATGGGTACGAATTAAGCTGAAAAGAATGTGAAAGACCTTTATTGTGAAAATATTGAGTTTGAAAAAAATATTAAAGGAAAAATCCTATGTACCCGGGTGGGAAGAACTCAAACTGGCTATATGACTAAACAAAATGATTTAGTGCAATCAGTAAGTGTCTTAGTTACATGCTTTTTGTTTTGTTTTGTTTTTTGATACAGGGTTTTGGTATGTCATTTAGGCTGATCTTGAATTCACTATGTAGAACAGACTGATGCTTCAGCCTCCCAGTGCTGAGATTGCAGGCATGTATCACCATGCCTGGCTGTTGCTTTCTCACTGTAGAGACACAATACCCAACACTCACAACTGTGAGGAAAAAAAATTTGCTCTCAGCAAACTATCTCCTCCAGTTATGCTTCATCCCATATCACATTTAGCTTTAAACCTAATGGTGGGCTAACCCACTGATTTATTCCACAATGACATGTCTATGTGTGCAAGAGTCTTTTCAGGGACAAAATATAAACTACAATACTACGAAAAGACCAGCAGTTTTTTTTCAGAAAAACAATTGTAGAATTTAAAGGTGCTAGGCCTAGTTCTATTATCAAGGATAGAGTTAAAATAAAGGAAATGGTTTGGTTTTGATAGTAAAAAGTGGTTTACTCACCTGAATATATTATGGTTGAAAACAGTAGGATTAGTGATGCTGATGCTTGAATTAGGAAATATTTGGTTGTGGCTTCTGTGGATTGTGGGCTAGTTTTGTTTATTATGGGATTATGTTTAATATACTCATTTCTAGGCCAATTAACATAAGTAGTCAATGGGAGCTGAATAGGATGACTAGTGTTCCTAAAACAAGAATAATATAGATTACAGCAGTTGTAATAAAGTTAATTAGTATGGGGAGGATGTAAACCAACTTTTTCAGGTATGGGCTGATAGTTTACTTAGCTGAACTTACTATTTGAGTGTGCTGTATAGGTAATGCAGAGAATTTCAGGTTCTTTGGAGTAGGTTCAGGTCCTGTAATACTAGAAATAAGAGGATTTCAACCTCTATAATTTACTCTATCAAAGTAATGTTTTTGTCATACATACTTCTAGATCATTTGAGGGGGGATGCCTGATAACAGGATGGATAGGGAGATGTGTCATATACATAGGGCCAAGATGAGTTGGAGAAAATTTTTTCATAGGAGATGCATAAGTTAGTCATATTGAAATAGGGGGTATGAAGTTTGGACTCACAAGAATGAGATTGTTAAAGTGAGTGTATATGGTATAAAATTTATTGTACAAGTTTCAGTGATGTAGTGGTTGTCATAATGTTATAAAAGATAATGGTTGTGAAGGCATTTATTATAATAATGTTTATGTATTTGACTAAACCAAAAGGGTGAAAAGAACTGAGGCATATTCAACATTGAATCCTGATACTAGTTCTGATTCACCTTCAGTTAAGTCAATGGGGCTTGGTTAGTTTCCAGTAAAATTGAGATGAATCATATCATTGCTAGCGGCATGTAGGTAAAAGGAGTCAAGTATTTTTTTAGTTTTCATCAAGTTTGCTAATGAGAATGATCTGTTTAGAAGTAAAATTGAAAGGAAAATAATAGCTAGGGAGACTTCATAGGAGCTAGTTTGGGCTACTGCTCGTACTGCTCCAATTACTGAGTATTTGAAATTGGATGCTCATCCTAATCAAAAGATGGCATGGACAGCAAGGCTTGGTGTTGCTAAGACAAATAAGCCCCCCAAGTTTATGTTAATTAGGGGTACAGTATTGAGATTGGGATTTATATGGATAGAGCAAGTGTAAAGGCTAGAGTGGGGGCTCTGATAAAGAGGAAAATTGAGGCGGTTGATGGGCAAAGTGGTTATTTAATAAATAATTTTAGTGTTTCTGTGATTGAAGGACTCCATAGTATCCAGCGATGTTTGGTCTTTTGCATATTTGTATGTAGTCAAGAAATTTTTGCTCCGTTAAGGTAAGAAATGCTATGGCTAGGAAAACAGGAATAATTAATAGAAAAAAATGATTGTAAGCATAAATGTTAAGGAGAGAAGTTGAACCTCTGAATATAAAGTTTTAAGTTTTATGAAATTTGCTAGGCTCTGTCCTTAACAAGCCCTTTTCTTACGTTGTTAATGGGATAACTATAAGATTAATATTATATCATATTTTAGTTATTAAGGCATAATTGGTTAATTTGCCTCATTTCTCTTCTCCTTTCATACTGGGAGAAATTTTTAATAGATAGAAACCAACCTAGATTACAACAGTCTGAACTCAGATTACATAGGACTTTAATCACTGAACAAACAAACCTATAATAGAAACTGCACTATTAGGAAGATGTCCTGATCCAACATCGAGATTGTAAACCCTACTGCCAATCTGAACTCTAAAATAGGATTGCGCTTGTTATCCCTAGGTAACTTGGTTGTTGATCAAATGGTTTTTGGATCAATTAATGATGGTAGACTTTGATTTGTTCTGTCTAGGTTAATATCATTTGGAGGATTTGTTGTTCTCTGAGGTCACCCCAACCAAAATTATTAATTCAAATCTTATATTTTGTGTTCTTAAGAACTTAGAGTGGTAAAGAATAAATTAATAAATTAAAGCTCCATAGGGTCTTGTCATCCTATTGATTTATCACCTTCTCTTCATGAGGAGTAATAATTCATTCTTTTATATACTACGAATAGAATGGTGAACAGTAGTCTATGCCTATAATTCTCAGAACTTGACCCACATTAAGTCGCATTATTCAGACACTATTGTAGTTTTAAGTTGTCTTATGTGCACAGCTTTCCGTCACCTCTGACAAATTTTGATAAGAATTTCTCTGTGATGCTGACAGGTAGCCACTTAATTTTCCATTAAATGAGAAAAAGGTTTTGAAAATTTATTTTAAGAGTTTCACATAGATAAGAGTCACGTGTTATTTTAAAATTAGATACATGAAGCTCCACCACACATTCAAAGGTCATAAATATAAAAGAACTTTCCCAAGGGATGGCTCATAATAATCCATTTCAGAAACACATGGAATGTATATAGGCTTAGCAGGTGCCATCATAGATGAATTTACATTTCAGGAACATGAGATAATTGTGAGTCTTACGCAAGTCTACACTCAGGCAGTGGAGTAGTTTATGAAAAGCAAGAAGGCGAAATTCTTCGTTAGTTGACGTCAGAAATGGAAGTTCTAAGAAGAAGGCATGTTCCACGTTGTCTAAGATTTCAGGATCAATCTGGCCACCAAAAAATCATTTATGGTTACATCATTACTTATCATTATTCAGTTTAGATTTAGGGACAAGAGGGAAATAAATGTAAAATGTTAACAAAAGGCATAGTTTTTCATGTATCCTGGCCAGGGAATCATTACTCTATTAATCACATAAAACATAGAAGCAGAACATATGTAGTTTTTTCTTGCCATGTGAGTGACTGTATGTGAAGTATTTTCTTGTAGGAGTAGGCACGTGGACTTGAAGAAAGGTTCTATTGGGCCACAAACATAGATTTGACTAAGAAACAATGGAAAGGTTAGTTTGCTCATCTATGCAATCTTGCATTTCTTGAAGCATACACCTGATGTGCCTGCATTTAACTTCTTTTGATAGGTCACCATTTATCTTTTTGTTATTTTGAACTGATTATATTCCTCATATCATCTCTGTACCTAAAACCTTAGACATGATGAGGATGGCTTGTGGTGCTTTAAGGTGCAGAAAGTCAAGTTAGGACTGATTAAGAAGGACAGGAGTCTGACAGTTCCCACAGGAAAAGTACATTACAGTTTTTCATGAGAAACATCTGTTTTCTTTTGAGTTCACAGTGACAGTCTTTGACAAAGAGGGTTCTGGCAACAACCATCAAAGGTGAGGGCTGTGTGATAGCACATGAGGTGAAAGTATGCTTCTGAAAAATGCTATACAGAGTAAGAGAGGGAATAGTAGGTTCCTGTGCCCTCTACTGGTATCTGTGAGCTGGGAGCTCTTGGCAGAGACAGAGACCCAGTAAGCATCATGGTGCACCAAAAGATGTCAGTTGATTTTGAGCTCTACTAGACACAAATCTAGGATGATTTTAGACTGTGATCTGCTGAACTCTGTCTTACAAAGTAAGCATAATTTCACTGGAATTTGAAATAGGTGTTTTGTATTTGTTATTTTGTTTTCTGTTATTTATTTAGAACTTTTGATGCTTGAGCCTTAATAATGTATTTCCTATGAAATACATTATTTTCCTATGAAATACTTATGAAATAAATATATCAAGATGCAAACAGGAATACATCAGTGATTTCAAAACAGGTACAGAAAAATGAATCATTATTGAACAAATGAGTGACCTCAGGAAGTTGGCATACCAATAAAGAAAAAAACGTGAAAATTAAAGTATTTATTTTCTATGTTCCTAAGATAATATATTCTTTACATTTGTGTTGAGATGGAATTTTCCCATGAAATGACATTCATGACATTCATGATATCATATGATGTCATATGCTTAGGACACAAAAATAAAAATATAAAAGTGCTTCTTTTTTCTATGATTATATTATTTTCTTTTGTCGATATTATCACTGAGATAGCTACTTAATCTGTTTACACACTAGACCTGAAAATGTCCTTTATGAATGAATATACATATTAAAATATTAATTTTCTCTTTGTATTATGAATTATTTGGGAAGGTTAAATGTATCAATATAAATCTTCATTTTGGAACACTGAGGAAAAATTTATGTTAACTTTCTATAAATTATGAAACAAGGAATAATACCAAAAGATACATCTCTTCATTTTTGATCCTTTCAAATATTGTGCTTATGGGATGGTACTGGTGCCAAGACTTCCTCAATCTTTGCAGAGTAAGGGTGCACTGACTACATCAATCAATCTGATTTTGATTTTCTCCTTTTTCCTTTCTCAATCTAACCTTCTGGCGTGGAAAAGAGAAAGAATCTAGCCAAAATTTCAATACAACTGAACAGAGACGAGTTGGAGAAAAGTTTTCTCTTTGGAGACTCTTCTTTGTTTTCTTTTCTATGGAAAATATTGAGCTGTCAGACGTGTGAAGGGAGAAGTGCTGGGTGGCTTTGTGGACAGAGCAAGGAAAAACCAACTGCCAGCACAATCGAACTCTAATATTCACTGATGTCAGTATATTCATCATTGACAGCTATATCTTCTGCATTGTTTCATATAAGACTATAAGATGGGACATTCAGGCAGTTATTTATGCCAAGCAAAAGACATTTCTCACCACAAAAAGGACGTCTTTAATAGAAAACCACAAAAGTATCTGAAGGCTGCTTACCTTACTGGCTAACTTCTTCAGCTGTTCCTGAATTTGATCGATTTTTTCTGCTATAATGATGATTTTGTTCCTGAGAATATCACGGAATTCTGGCAGCTGATGTGCTTCATAGTGCAGTTGGAACAGGGGATCATTCCAGGACTGCAGCACCATGATCAGCAGCTTGACAATATCTTTTGGCTAAGCAGACATACCAGACCAATCAGGTGGAAATAAGCAAGCTACAGCTGGTTAATAACATGTGAATTTTGCTCTACGGGTCCAAACTAAAGTATTTTTTGTTACTCTTGTGAGTATGTAAAGTCTTCTGTAGATCATAAAAGGTGTAAAATGTAAACAATTGGCTTACACCTTGCTACAGTAATATGAATGCAGGAAACTAGCAAATTGATGTGACTACTTTTTCTAATGAGAACTCTAATCAATGATCTTGGGTTTTTTCCTCTGAAATCATATTAAAACTCTGATTTTAGGGGGAAATTAAAAAAGTGAGATTATTACAGTAAAATGTTAGTGCTTGCTGTGCAATTAGGTGTTCACCTGTATACTGTGTGTTGATCAGAACAGAGGTTGGAGTCAGACCCCTGAAAAATGTGATATAGCATTTTACAGGATGTACACGGTGTGGCAACGTTCAGTTTAGATATATGTGAAGGCAGCAGAGTGAGTGAAGTGTGAAGGAGTAAGTGTTAGCAGAAGTTCAAAATGAAAGCGAGTTGAAAGTATAGAAGATATGATTTAGATTAGGCAGAGTTTAGTACTATAAATGGTTATCAATGCAGGAGTCATTGGTAACCTCTAGAAAGTGAAACTGCAGCTGCATCTCTTACATATCCAGCTCAGTTTAGACTTCCTTCCCTATAGTATACTGTGCTTACTCTTAGCTACATATCATTGGTTAATCTGCTTGCAAATTCATGGATCTCTGTAATTTTTACATAGCATTTCTTTTTATGTGTAACTGTTAACTACATGATACAATTTTTGTTTGATTGGTTAATCTTCCTCCATTTTTCTCTGCCACATAACTACTATTAAAACTAATCACAGTGTATGCCATTGCAAAGCAGTGCACTGCCTCAATTGTTCTTGTGAGGGTGGGGTAGGGACCCACCTGCATCATCAGATCCTGCTCCTCCCCTACTGGAAAGATGGTGGGAACCGTGTGGCACTTTTTCCTGGCTTCCGGAAAGACGAATAGGCCTCGTGAATACTTTTTGTCCTGGAATGATGAATAAAATTCAATTAGTTGGTATTTGGGAATTAAAATAATGAACCTTTTTGTTTTACCAGAATGTTAATACATTTGATGTATATGTAATTTTTAAAAAATATTAGAGCTGTATAGATGCTGAAACTAAAGAATTATGAAAGTAATGCTAATTTTAACTATTTCTATAATTTCATTGTTTTAAACTCACTTTTCTAACCTCCCAACCTCTTCCTTTCTTTGCTATGCCTTTGTTCTGACCCTTCCTATGAATAGATATGTGAAACAAACACAAAAAATAGCACAAGTACAACATGTTAACTGTTTTAAGTGTCATGTTCTCAAGTATTTGAGCCAAATACAAAGATGCATATATATCTGTATTTGCCTATTTAATCTCATGTTGTTCAACAACACTGATATTCTTTCTATAATTGAATGCTAGTTATAATTTGTTTTTCAATTACCTCTTAATCTACACAAAATTCAAAATACAATTTTTATTGTGACAAAATGGGTTATCAAATAGAGCAAAACATTTTAGGAAAGTATAAGTAATTGACAGATGTTCAAAACAAACAAAAATTTACAGAGACTTATACTAGGCCTAAAGTGTGAAAGTTTAAAGTGATCACTAGGAAGATTTGGAAGATAAAAGGTAGTCAATCAAAGATGGAAAACGAATGAGTCAAAGTTATCCTTCTTTATGACAGAGTAATACTATTGCAGAGTATTATGCATAAATAGCACATTTTCTTTATCCATTTATTGTAGGAAAATGGATGAACTTTGAGACCATAATGTTAAGTGATATAAATCAAACATATAAGCTTACATATTATAGTTTCCCTCATATGAAATGCTTAATTATATAAATAAAGTAATAAATTATGAAATATACAATAGGTTACAGAACACACACATAACCACAGATTATTGTAATCCAACACACAATTTATCCAAAAATGTACCTTGACTTAGTCCAATTATCTTATGTATTTTATATGTGCTTTGGCCCATTAATCTGGGTCTTAATCTATACATATGACAAAATTTGCAAGATCTTATAAATCAATGAATCTGATGCTGGCAAAATAAGAAGGGCCCGTGGAGGAAAGGATAAAACAGAATTGAAGTGTGTTATGCATGTGTATCCACTTCCTACAATGAATACAATCATTACATACTGCTAATATGTACTAACAAAAGTAAATAAAGGCACTCCTTCCAAAAAGAAAGTGGAAATGAAAAAAGCATAAGTATAAATGTGAAAATGTATATTGTTTACAAACACTGGATAATGTTTTGTAAGGTGGCCCTTTGTTGTGTTAACACTTGATCTATTTTCTACTTCACTGACAGAAGAGATAACAGATAACATTCAAAGTAACTTTATGAGGATGAGAAAAACCTGTTTCCACTTCTAAACTAGCCCATCTGTTTTAATTATGAACTCAACACTTAGAAGTCCTAGAGCAAATGCTTGTTCCATTTTAGGGTTTCTGAAAATTATTAATTTAGGGTCTTTTTCCCTCTTGCATAAATTTGATTTAGTTTAATTCTATTCAATCTGCCCTACTGAATGCATTCCTGTCCTCATTTCTTGGATTTGTGCAGTGTGCTGAGTAAAGAACATCCAGGACTCACCATTTCATGCAAAAACAACAGTTCAGAACTCTTCAGCCCCACCTAAAATCAATTCATGTCATGTACTAAGATTTTTAAAATTAAGTGAATTAAGGGACAATTTTAAAATTAGCAATCTGAGATTTCACAGAATTTTCCCTTTTTCCTTTTTCTACTTTGTAGGGGCTGATGCCTTCTTTAACCTATTAATATACATCATTTGAAATTTGATGATCTTCATGTTTAAATGGTAGTTTAACCTAATTGCTGGTGAGAAGGCTCCACCAGGCAAAAGCAAAAAAATGAGGTACTTACAAAAGCCTGAAGCAGTTGTGAAGAAAAGCCATGCAGGTTCAGAGAGAAGATGACTGCCCTGTCAATCAGGCGTCTGCGTGACTTCCAGCATGTAGACTCCTTGGGACAGTCAGGTTGGGCAGCCTCAGTCTGCCAAATGAGATGGCTTGACATGAGGAGCAGCAGCAGGAGGGGCCCTGTTCAAACAAAAACACAAGCCACTCTTACAGGATCTATTTAGTGGGAGTTACCAAAAGCAATCTTTGCCAGGAAAATCTTAACTCTGCCTGTTGAACTCAGATGCATAATTTAGTGTGTTAATGGCAGGGATTAGAAGTAAAGCAATGCCTTCCACTGTATGCAGTTAGAGATACAATTACATCAGCACAGACATAAAGCTTGAGAAGTGGGTGGATTCCTGCATTTTTTCCAGATATTCCATTAATTATGAATTTGGGGTGTTTAAATCATACTCTTCATATTGTTTGATATTTTGGGAATTTCTGTAGATTTTTGGCAGACATTCTAGGAAAGTGTAATTTTTAACTCAGTGTCTGCATTTTCGACACTGATATGACAAGAATGCCACAGCTTATGTTTGTTTTGTCTTTATATTTAATATGTGTATACACATGATTTCATTTGTTGCTAATATTGAATATGAAGATAATTTAATCTTGAAATGATTTAATGTCCTGAATCTACTACCTCATCCTGATGATCCCATGGATTCAACTGACACTTTGCCAAAATCTTTAGACTGTCTTCTAAAATTGAGCTTTACATAAATCCTGGGAGGTAATTTGGGCCTTTGTAATTATTATTAAATTTTATTAATGAAGCATAAATCTTAAGGTAAGTGACCTTTCTCCACTGCCTGTTTATTGGGGGGAGGGAAAAATACCACTGAGATGGTCTTTGCACTTGACCTTGTCACACTGTGCACACCTGTGGGTTCTCAGTCTGCATCTGTCCAGCAGGGATCACATCGGTGGTTATGAGGCACAGACACTACAGATGTTGTTACCATTACATGTGAAGAACTCTTTGTCTTGAGTGTAGGATAATGGGGACCCTTGAAGTTTGATTTTATACATTTTCTGGCTCTGTAAAATGCCCACTTTAAGAAGCTTTGACAATAATCAGAGGTCTTTATGGATCTGCTATTTTGGTAGATGCAAAGAATCATAGCTCTAATCTAGCAATAATTTACATTAAAAGGGAAGAAACAACAAACATTCTACCAAGTTAAAATCACCTTTTACCTTCAGTGACACTATTTCAGAAAATTTCTGATAAAAAATGTGAGAATCATTAGACTATATTTCATAAAACTTTCCAACTGAAAATCTCAAAGTTAAAAATATTAAAGCAAATATTAAAGATTTATATATGAAAAGTACCTAAACATAGATACCTATAACAATTAAACATAACTCAAATATTTTAATATGGAATGTAATTTAACTAGTGCTCTGGTTCAAAATCTAAAATAATGTGTTATAATTGATATTATAGATTTTTATATTTCTGAAACTGTAATAGTTTCAAGACTCTGTTTTTGTATGTTTTGTATGCTAAAGAAATATATTAGGTACATATGAAGTAAAATGGGCTTTGCAGATAGAGAAATTGGGATAACCACTATAGGTAACTGGTAGGTAACTGGTTACAAATTTGTTCTCTCTGATCCCATTCATCTGCATATTTGACATCTGAGGGATATTCTCAGTCTAAAATGTGATAAAATAGACAACTATTTATGTTTTTTATATCATCAAAATATTCTGTTAATAATTTGTCATTTCTACAAATGTCACCAAGAAAGCAAAGGTGATTAATTAATAGTAAGCCTGCTTTTCCTTTTGTAAAATCATTTCTTGAACCCTGATAAACCCTTCACACTGATAAAGCAGTGTAAGAGTTGCATCTTCTGTCATTGCCTGCATTGCACCTTCAGAACTGAAAGTTTCAGTTGTTTGACTTAAGTTTCCCAATTTATGTGATCTTCCTGAGAACTAGACTTATGTTAGTGTCTGCCTTGTGGAATTATGACAAATTGCACTGAGTCTTGTGGTCTTATATTAGCCCAGAGTCTCTCACTCTCAGCATTCATGGCTTTTTGAGCTTGATAATTTCTTTTTTTGGGATCTGTCCCATGCATTGGAGAATGATTTACAGCATCCTGTCTCCTACCACTTAGTCACCACCAACGTCCTCCCTACATCTCCTTTGCTTCCATTATGACAGTAGAAAATGCCTCCAGCCATCGCCACATAAAGGAAGATTCCCACTTGAAGACTGTTGAACCACTCTGTTATGCTCTGTGCATTTGCTTTCCAGAGCACTAATTGTATAGATATTCTAAATCCTGTAAACCTAAAAATTTTCTTAGTAGCTAAAATTGTACACTGACTCATGGAGGAGTGAAGCAAAGAACACACCGATGCAGGACTTACCTTTCCCCTTGCCATGCCTGTTGTGGATCATGATGCGAAGAACACTTGATTGGAGAAGGCCTGGCAGTCCCATGTCCAAATTCAGATGTTCTTTAAAAAAACTTTTGAGATTTTCATAAATATATTTAAGAAAATGTTTTCTTTTCTCACTGCGGGGGAATGATGCCATACTGGGACACAGTGTTAGCTTTATCTGTTGTCAGATTGAACACTTAACAGTGACTGTAGAGAGGTCAGCCTTGGTGAGTGGAAGTCAATGCCATCAATCCCACACATAACTTTCCGTGCCACTACAACCTCTTTACTTATGAACCCATCTGGCTTTCCAATGAAAGGAATAGCTAAGGAAATAGTATTAGTGCTATCCATAAAATGGATCTTTCTGTACATTTGACTATTAAAATCTCCATCTTCTGAGGTTACTTTATTATAGGCATTTATGTGGAGCACACATTTCTTAATATTCTCCACCCATTTGGAGTAGTCTGTTCACATCCTGCTTCTTCAAATGTCTTTGCTGCCAGCTTTCTAGTCATGTTCTTTCAAATTCCCTGTTCATTTTCCAAGACCACTGATTACAGCCCATGAGTTGTTATACAGTCACACATCTGATTATCTTTCCTACCAAGTAAAATGAATAGCCAAGTACTGTATCCACAGTTCTTCCTACTGTGAAGATATCCCCTTATCACTCTTCTTTAGTGATCTTCTGGAAAGGGACTGGAGTGCTACAACTTGCTACTTTAAGGAAGAACTTCCCTAATATGTAAAGCTATCTGTTAGCCAGGTCTTGGTCCTCTCTTGCCCTGTCAGCTGATCATGAGGTACACATTGTGAAGCCATAGGTGCACACTGGGTTGAAAAAGACAGTATAACAGGAGTAAAGCCCATGACATTCGGCCACATCATATAAGTTTCTTGTGTGTTCTGAACATGCTCAGTCCCAGTCATAATATATGCCACTTCTATTTAATGATCAGATGTTACAGTACATATCTAACTTTATGGCTAGGCAGACCAATTAACATCCAGGCACAATGATCAGTTTAGGTTGC